CGATATACAGGGCGGCGTCGACTCGAAGTAGGCGACGGCGCCATGTGCATCCTGAATGGGACTTCGATGTGATAAGGGAGGTGTATTAATTTTTAAAAAAATTCATGGACTTTAAATGGAGATGCGAACATTGTGTCAAGGTAGCGGGGATGTAAAAAAAGACGTGCGTTAAGACTGTAGGGACTTATGAGACATGGACGAGCAATTTTAATATTAATTTTCGTCTGGATTAAAGAGGCTTCCAAAGAGTGCAGATGGTATCCTGATTTCCTCTTTGAATCTATTTTCCCTATTTTCCAGATTTGACGTGACGGGACCAAGTCGATGGATCGCTCGTAAGCTCCAGGGCCGATAACGCAGACGCGACCCGTTTCCCCGTGTCGCAGTTTTCCTGCCTTTTCCTCGAGGATTTATCCCCGGGAGTTCGGTTTCCCCGAGAGAGGGCGCGATTTATTCACTCCGCTCGATAACTTCTCGGCCGGTTCGCCACATAAATCGGGCCGCACATCATCGGTGGAAATAAAAACCGACCGTCGTTCCGTCATCCGGCGTTATGGCCACGTCAAAAGGCCTCATCGAATCCGACGCTCTTTTTTATCCCTCCGATGGAGCGCTTTTTGATTTTCCATCGACGGATTCGGTTCACCGAGAGCGACAGAACCGAACGCCGAGAAGAAAGACCGGTCGGATATTTCTACGAGAGGGAAATTCTTCAAAATGACGACTGCTCTGTTTCCCTCTCTCTCTCTTGTCGAGGATAAAACTGTCAACCTCCGGCGTCGATTCGACGCATCTCACCGAACCGACGAGTCGTTCCCTTTTTCTCTCGCGTCGCTCTTTCCGGTCGACCTATTTAACGGATACGATGAGTTTTCCAGTAATTCCCCGAGATACGATTCCTCTAATTGGCGGGCTCTATAATTAAAGAGCTCTTGCAACCTTTTTTGTCAAAGTCGGAAAGAATCGGCCGCGCAATTTTTTTGAAACACCCTCCGAATTAATATTATTAATTATATTTCAAGAGACATTTAGAGCCAGCTGGCAGTTTCGCATTTTCCGTAGAGATTCCCGAGGCTTCGCCCCTTCGATACCTTGTCACCCTTCGAACCCTTCGAACCTTTCGAACCCTCTCAAACAGCCAATACCGCCGCGTAAACAAGTTTCTCAGCCGCTTCGCTTTCGCACACCCTCTTGTTAACCCTTGCATCCCCGAGTCCTTTACCCTAAACCTCCCCCGGGTCGAAGGAGCTTCTTCCGTTCCTCCGCACTTCCGCTCGACCGACGTGCCCTGCACTTCCGGTGCCTCCGCACTGCAGTGCCTCCCCAGAGAATCGATTTCCAGGACCATGCTTCCTTTTTCCCGCCCTTCCCGATCCTCGTCCTCGGTTTGGCCTCGAAATGACCAAAGGTCTCCAGAGGATCTCAAGGAGTTGCTCGATAAGGACCAGGGTCGTTATCGGTGCTCTCCGAGGTGTTCGTCGTTTCGGTCATTTCGATCGTTTCGATCATTTCGTTCGATTCGACCACGATTTAATTTTTTCAAGACGCTCGTATCGGATATCACGATTTTACGACCCGATGCACATCCGATTAGGCCAATCAACGTGGCGTGCACATGCAAGGCGGAGGCAGTGCAGGGCGATCATTCTCCGGCCAGTCCTCGAGAATCGATTTCCACGTCCTAGTCCTTCCACCTCTCTTCTGGCCCTAAGGGAGTGCTCCGAGTGGACGAGCACCGTCATTACGGCTCTCCTTTAAATTAGGGCAATAACTATCTCCTCCCCCTCAAGGATTCTCCCGAAAGAAATTGCACGTGAATTATTTCCACGTCGCGGGAAAAATTCTACGATTCATCTCCCATGAATTTCCGACAAAGTGGAGGGTCGAAGATTTCGCGGTATTTTGGGAAATCGCGAGATTTCCAACCGGATGTTCGCCAGGTGCCTCGGCGGAGAGCATTGAAAATAAATATCCCGCCGCTCGATTCCCATCCCCTCGGCCCTAATTCCCCTCCATCCCAGCGAACTCTAATTCCGGTGCACCCTCCACGAGGCGACCGTATCGCGCCGCCCTCCCCTAGGAGAACTTCCATCGATGCCTCTCCCCGGAGAGATGACATCGTTAACGTGCCTCATTAACTCGATGCATCTTGCAGCATGCGATCCAACGGCCGCTGAATAACGCCCGGCATATTTCAACGCCTAAGCAGGTTACGGCCACGGTGAATAATCAGTGGCCGGGGTCGCAATCAGCCCGGCTTAAAGAAAAACCGACCAACTCGAGAGCCATTTCCACCGTGGGGAAATAATTGCAAGTTTGAAAAATCGGCCGCGAACGGTACAATTCCCGACGACACGTACGAAGCTCCTCCGGTGACAATCGAAGATGGACAAACGCGGAGAAAGAGGATCGTCCGATTGACGGAATTTCCAGTCGTTTCCGCGACTTTTTCGACGTCGAGGAAAAACTCTGACGCCATCCTGGGAAACTCTAACAGGCATTTGTCCTCGACAAAGGGATTCCGTAACGACCGCGCGTAAATGCGACGTCGTCGAATGGGATCTACGGTGAGCTTGAGCAACAAGCCCGAGGTATCATGGTCCCCATGGAACCCGACGTCCACGCGGAGCTTTTCAATGGGAGGTCGTGCCTTTTTTCGCGTTTTGTCCGCGAAACATCCTTTGCGGTCGCGCCATCACGAGATATTAAGAATGGGAAGGTGGGTAGGACTTGATGCAACCCGAGAACCGTCAAAAGAGATCCTCGTACACGCGCCAGGGTTCGTGGAAGTACGCGTGTCGTTTTTGCCGCAGGTGCCACAGGCCATGGGCGTGAAAGGGACCCCGGAAATGAGGATGATGATCCTCCGACAAAATTACTTCCGCGAGATGCAGATATTTATTTCCATCTGGAGCCGGCGCGAAACTCGTCCACCTTGATGCGCCAATTTTACCGGTATCGTCGAAACTTCTTAACAAAAAGGAAGAAAAAAAAAAGACGGGAATGAACGAAAAGAATAAAAGTCGCCGCATTGTCCAACGTGTGAAACGTGAAATGTAGTATGTGAAAGTAAATGAAATAAATAATAACACGATCGGGACCTACCGCTGTCTCTTTGTTTATAATTTAACGCGCGGAGCAGACCGTCGAGCCGTTTGAAATTTATAAAGGACATCCGAGTTTTAATTAAAAATCCGCGGAAACGAGTAAACCTCGGCGAAAGGCCGGCGCAAATAGAGCTCCATTTGCCTTCGTCACTTGCGATTTAATATTTCGAATAACCAGAGGAGCGAGAGGGAGAAGCGGTGAAAGACGGTAATTCGGTTCATCAGCGTTCCGATGGTCGACCTTTTATTTAACCCGATTTTGCCCGACTTCGATTCGATTACGCGACTCGACTCGGTCAACGAGGTTCCCTAATGACTTTTCCAGGCGACTCCTTTTTTTTTTATCCGTTTCTTATTAATAAATCCATGTAAAAAAGGAAATGCAACGCGACCAAGTAAACGGAAATAGACCGATTCCCTCCGTTCCCCCTATTTTCCTTTCCGCAAATAGGAACTTCCGGTGATTTTTATAATTTGCAAGGGGCTTATGAGAATAATCCCAGCTACTTGCGAACTGCACAAATAAACGAAGTTAACCCCTGACCTCGGTTGATTATCAGTTTATTCGAAAGTCCCACACTTGGCGCGTGATCGAGACTGACTGATCCTGACATTGACTGGAATTCGATCCCCGGAATGAACGATCTATTTATTTCATTATAATATTAAACTACATAAATGTTAAAAATCTGTAACATCGCGTCTCCCATTTCCCATGGATTTATCGGATAAACGGCGTCATAAATACAAGTTTTAATATCCCCGCCACCTGAAGTTCGCACGTACCGTATATCAGCGAAGTTCAGGCCGAACTTCAGTTGCAATAATCGTAATCGAAATCGAGGAGGAATATCTCGGATGATACGGTGATTTCCGCGTCTTAAATAAACCGAGTGCAACGCCGGCTATCCGATTGCCGATTTATTCGGCCGGTCGTCCGGTCGACAATCTGACATTACTTAAATTGTTTTAATAACGGATGATCACCTCCAGTAACCGGGTAACCAGGTACCCATGAATTAAGAGGGACCGAGAGAGAGAGTACCTCCCCGTTATCCGAGCATTTCAGCTGGCCATGTATCACCGCCAAGTATGGATAACGGTTGGGTATCCTGGTACACAAATCTGTTAATACTCGGGTAAAACCGAGAGCACTCATCTTAACGCATTACCCACCACCCAGGTTGTGCCTGACCGGATCATGGACCCAGTCGCACGTGGCGATAACTGCCCCATTCAAGTGCCAAAAAAAAAATGATAAAAACCGTTTCCAACTGACTCTTCTCATCTTTACATATAACCCAAGGAAGGAATAAGGTAATCCAACCCGTAATAACGTAATGAAATAATTAAGTCCTCATTTTTTTAGTAAATGGCACGCACGCGTTAGCGGTTCCGTTTCGGGCAGCAACTTTGAAATCCGTCGAGACTTCACGTGAGAAAAAATTAGAAAAAAAATTCACTTTCGGACCCTCCTTCCTATATTTTACGAGCAAAGAGATGACCCATCCCATCCCATATAGGACGTTAAATCCGCGGAAATATTTGCGGCTGGACCCGAAGCTTTTCCCGCGATAAAGAGGCCGATGGAACTCGTAAGCAGCGACATGGAACGATTACTCGTTTCGTCACGTAAGGTTGGGTGCGACAACGAATAAGTAACGCGAAAAATGAAAAATCTGCCGCTGGTGACTTTACGGCCGTCGTATAACGCCGTAATTTAAGTTCTCGAGAACCCATTTAGAAAAAAAAGCAACCATTTGTTTAAAATTGAAAAAAATGCAGGGTAGTCCGAAAAACGTCGGCGCAATCCGGTAGGCGTCCGTGAAATTTCTCCTCCCGATTTACCTCGCACCGCTTGGTAGTAGGTCCGAAAAGGACGCGCTCGTTTACCTGGTCCACCGGACGTCATCCTCCATCGACTCGCGCTGGCGGAGTGAGGGCCTGGCGGGCCGACCGGCTGCTTCGCACCCCGAGTCCTGCGACCTGCGGCTCGACCAACCGGCGTCGAGTATTCACTGGCCCGACGGCACTCTCGGCGACCCACGCGCGCTCGCAGTCTCTGCCGGGAGAGATCCCTCGCGCGCACGCACTCGACGGTAGCTCGGAGGAGACTGAGCGGTGCCGGCACTGCCGGCCGCGCGTAAGGGTGAGCGGCGCCGGAGTCGTGCGAGAAGGGCGGCACCCCCCGTGCCCGTTACCGCGCTCGTTGCCCCCGCCGGCGCCGTTATCGATGCCCGCTCTCCCCGGGACGAGTCTTGCGGGCGCGTTCCGTCACTCTCGCCGAGAAACCGCGGAAAGGTCTGAGAATCTCCCTACCCCGCGACCGGTGGGCGGTACGCACTTATCGGATGTACCCGAGCGACACCTTACTTAACCCTGGAACTACCGGGGGATTTTTTTTTCCACTGTGGTGGCCCATCCGAAACCAATCGTTTTTACCGAACTTGGTCATTTTACCGTCAACCGAGATATTTTAGCCAATGATCGAAATATTAAACGGAATTATATGGAATGAAAAGATTCCAGCGACTTCGACTTTGGCTTAATTAGTTTTTTTTTTATCGCATCGTAATTAAAAATAAATGATACCGTTGTAAGAATCCCCCTGGGAAAGGTTCCTCTACTCTGTGTCTATTGGATAATTTCTATTTCGACGTTTATCTCGCATTGGAGACCTGCCAAAGTGGACGTTTTGTTCGAAGGTTGCAATCTAAGTGCTTGAAAGCAGTAACCACTTTATGGATTATATTTATAGACGCTTCGAAAGTGACCTACTTCGCGGCTTGAAACGAATTGTAAAAATAGATGACGTCGCGTTCATCGGACATATTTGCAAAAGTTGTCCTTACATTTTTTTTTTTCAGATTTTCAGACGAGTTTCACAGAATATTAGGTATTTCTGGGGATGAAATGGTTGCATCGGAAAAAACGGAATTCGATTTATATCTCGATTAATATGTCAGTAACCACGTTTATGAAGACAATTACGATGATCTCCAGGCACTCGGGCTTCGCTGAAATTTGCATCTCCGAGAACGTTGATCCAATCGAGGAAACGATCCGGTGAATTAAATAACCCTCGATAACGACTGCGGACCTCTGCCAATAGAATAATTAATCTGAAAGATTGGACGCGTTCGTTTTCCATGTAAATTCGATGTTAAAAAGTTCTCTCGTTCCGACTCCCGTGACGCCGACCTTTCGATGTCTCGATGGATTCGTAATTTCATTCATCACGTCTCTCTCTCTCTCTCTCTCTCGACTCGTTCCATATGCATATCGATAATTCCCACATTTTAATTAGTAAAGGATGCAATGGAACGATTACGGCACCTGCGTTCCCACTAACCTTGCCAAGTAACTCCGCGATGTTAATTGCACCCAATTAATAACCATGCTCTGAATATCATTAAGAAATTGCGCAAAACTATCGAGCAATTACCCGGGCTCAAAGTGCAGGCATTACATATGAATATTCCCCTCGCGCGTTTAAATTAATCCGACGTCTTTGGATTACGGTCATTTTGATTAATTAATAGATTCTCGTCCAGTGGGGTGAAACGGCACTCGTACTAAAACGAGAAAATAAAGTGAGATTTAGAAAAGCCGCGCCGTGCAATTATTCTTCCTTTTTTTAATAGTCGATTCGTCCTCTCCAGACTGTATGGGACAATTGGGGGCGAAAAAAGGGCGTCGTCCAATATCTCTTCCTATCATTCGGCTTGTTACCCTGCCTCGTTTCCGTTTCGCCTCTACTCCGCGATATATAGTTCCTCTCCCCAAAGAAAAAGGCGACAATAACATGGAGGTGGAAGTTGGGTGAAAAAACCGTGGGAAGCATTAATTGCGTGGCAGAGCAGAATCCGGCAGGATAGGCTGGCACTATTTCAACTTTGGATTCGAGCCAGGACAAATATCAATTTTATGACGTACCGAAAATCTTCTATTTGCCTTGGCGGACCTACCAATGCCCGAGAGGCCCGAACCAAATTGAATCGAGCGAGGCTGACCTTATCATCCTATCAATTTTTAAATAACTGGTCAAACTCTCTCTTCTCGGACGTCAAGGCCAATCGGTGACGCGCAGTGAAATGTGCGACTCCGGCCTAAGAGAGAAATTCGGCAGAAAAAAAATGGCAAAATGATGATAAAAATTCTTTCCGACTTTTTATTCGACGGAACGATGACCTCGCGCTAATGATTACAGAACCCTTAATTCGAAATACGACCTATGAATATTAGCCGGAACGTACTCGGAAGGAGCACTTAAGGAGCTTTTATGGCTCGATTTTAAGGCTCGTAAAGATATCAGGAATAAGAGCTCATGGAGGTACAAGCTCGACAAGGGTGCGTGCCTTGATTTTTAAGCGATCCATGGAAGAGACGGACCGTTGGGATTTTCGTCGATCCTGGTTGATCTGGGATCGTTAAACGTAGAGGACTGAAATTGATGTCATAAAATTTGCGCTTTGAACTTTTTATACATTTTCTGATTTTTTAATTTTGCGTCGACTCGTCTCTGCCGATTCTTTGCAAAATGGAGGACGAAACCACAAGGGCCGTTTTCGATGTCGTATGGGCGAATCTCCGCAGTGCATTTTACGGTCGATCGATCCTCGGTTCGAGTAGGGTCTCGTACATGCCTGCGAGTAGGTTCTTTCTTCTTTGCCAGCGTAAAAGCGCATCCAGAACAATGTACGATTCATTTCACGGCTCGTTAGCTGCACATCACAGATTTGCACATGCGTTTTCCTTGCTACGCGTTTCGCACCAATGATGCCAGCCAACGAAGCGTGCAGAAGGTCCTGGCAGGGTCGCAGGGCTTTAACTCCTTTTGAAAAGCCCACAAATTTCCTGCTTCCCAGGGAACGACGTTTTCTCCGTAAAACTGCTAGAAGTCCCTTTTTCCCCAAGCCAATCGGCATCGAAGACAGTCTTTACCCTGATGGAATTTATTTTACGATTATTTAGTGCATCCAGGTAGGTGTAAGATAATTCTCCGATTTTTATCGTAAGCGGTACTTACGATACTCTCTGGATTATTAAATCATGTTCTTAGATCGGACCGCCTGGAGTAAAGAAGCCTTGGCTTCCGTAAACATAAGTCAGCCTTAGAAAGTCGCACTGCATTCATTGCGACCAGCGTGCAATTTGTCTCGGCGATCACTTGCGACCTCGCGTTGCATTCTGCGGATAAATCGGTGTAACTGTACCGAGTATCCTATCATTTTCCGCGAATGCATTATCGAGTGGGAGACCGAGGATGACGCCCGGGGAAATGCGTTTGACGAAGGTCCGGCCATTGTAAACGGCACTTACTCGCGACCGGCCGGAAACATTTGCGTTTATGCAAAGATGGGCAAAGAGGGTACGCGCAACTTCGTCCCACTTATTTCCGTTACTTATAACCCTTTCCAGGGAATGGCTTCTGGGCGGAATCTTTCCTGTCTGGAATTTTATTGGCAGGGCAATATTGGCGGAATATGGGCTCGAGCAGACTCTTAGAATGTTGGAATTGGAAGGATACTCGGCCAGGCCGATCACGTCTCCGTCCTACCGAAGTTACTTCCAACGATGGACGTGTCGATTTATCGGTACAGATACGGCATAGCTTCGGGATCGAAATTACTTTCCAAGTAAAAAGAGAAGTCCCATCGGCTGTGGAAATGGCAGCGTAGGAGGATGTAACGTTTATAAGGTACTCCTAGAGATATGAAATAAATATCACTGAAATAATCCTTCAAAGATGTATCCAGCCTTAACCGATATTCCTATTTACACCTCGAAAATAATACAATATTAAACCCATGATGATCAATACTTCCCACAAAAATTCAGGTAATTACGGGGTAATTAAAGCGATCATTCTTCAAAACCGAATTAAACGGACGTTCCCTCTTCCTACTCGCGCACTTCACTTTTAATGACACGTAATCAACGAGTTACGAGTCCCCGAACGTAGAGGGACGAGAGACTCGCCATTGTCTCCCAGAACGAGATTTCTCGTCGTGAAATTTTGAACATTTCCCCAGGTGAACCTGACTGCATCGATTCCTCCTTAATTTAATGCAGAGGTGCAGTGACGGCCCCTCGATATCTGAAGTGCAGGCAGGCGAGGCCAGTTTATTATCACTCATATATCGGGGCCGAGTTTATGGTCAACGTAAAGTTTAACGAGCTCATGCCTCGAAACACCTTGGTGCATCCGAGAGGAAGCCGATATGGACCGATATCGCCGATACGGGTGTCGATATGGATGCAGTTGCGCGAAATCGATGCGCAGAGTGCACGGTGATAAAAAGTGTGGGACCTCCGAGAGGATTATCAGAGATATCGAGCTTCCAGCTTTCGGGCTGTCCGAGTCTCCTGATAACCCATGGAGGGAAGGTGGGGTCTTTGGTTTGCTCTTTGGCCAATCGTCGCCATCCTTTTTCTTCCAGGTCCTCCATTCTCCTTTCCCGTCCATCCGGCTCGACGAAAGCACCCCCAAAGACCGATCGAGATATCGATAGAGACACCCTTTACGTGTTGGGGTACGAAACTGGCGTAGTCTAAAAAATGGGTTCCCGGCACACGAGGATTTCGGATTTTTATACCGGAGATAATGTCAGGGAATATATTTAATACCTTGGAGAATGCAATTAAGTGAATTAATTTTTTTATGTCATACCATTTATTTAATGGGCATTTTTCGAAAGAAAAACTCCGCCCGTATTTTTTTCCGAATTAACGTGCACTCCCCGGGAGCAAAAAACCGCCACCTCCCTTAACAAACTAACGGGCAAGCAGAGTATTTAAATTATTTCTTCGCTCTTCTCCCCCGCAAAGAGTGCATATCAAAAGCTCCCGGATTAGGGCCTTTAAAGCCTCTTTTACCACGCACCCCAACATTCGAGCTTAATTCGTGCACCAGGCTTCGCACCCCCGACTTACCCTTCCGATTTCTCCGCGAGTCTAATCTCCTCTGACTTAAAAGTAATTCACGTTCCAGTTTGCGAAACCCGACGGCGTATGTACAGTTTGCGCGAAGAAAGGGAAATAGATAACCCCTAGATAACTCGCGGCGCAGA